TTCCATTGTTATTCCATCCTCGCTAATTCCAGCATCTGGATCGCTCCAAGTACCGATATGGGTGGCATTTTGTCACTCACAGCAGCTGAAACGAAGCTGCCCAATCTGTGACAGCTCTTATTTTATATCTATGTTTGAGCTCAGATTGTGGAAGATGAATAATTCACTCAGTCAGGCTCCTTTCTGCAGGTAAAAATAGCAGCTGCTTTGTTCCTCTCACTCCACCCTGGCTCCAGCCTGGCTTTTCCCTCTGTCACACTCCCCGTTGTCAGGATAAATGAACATTCATCCTGCTCCCCTGGGCCTTCCCTGATGGTTCCCTGCACACAGCTCGAGCTGACAGTGGAGATCAGAAATGTATTTTTCTCTCTTAATTTAAAAAAACCCCATCTCTGATCATTAATGGTTCCATAATGCCAGAGGAGATGGTGTATTGAATGCTGTTTCAATTCTTTGGTTTTAAAGGAACTTTGTACCTGTCAGGAAGTGTAAAAGGTATAATGGGACATGTCTGAGCAGGGGGTGGTAACCCTGGAGTAAGTTTGCTTTAAAGGTTATTTTTGAGCATCCAGAGTGTGAGCACACTGAGGATGGAGCACATGGAGCCTGTGTGGGAGCAAATGAAATAGAGGGAGAATCATGGAATCAGAGAATTATTTGGGCTGGAAAAGCCCTCTGAGACTACCAGGTCCAACCATCCCCCAGCCCTGCCCAGGCCACCACTGACCATGTCCCCAAGTGCCACATCCACAGGGCTTTGCAATCCCTCCAGGGATGTGACTGCACCCCTGCCCAGCCCCTCACATGTCCTGTACCCAGGGAGCCCAGAACTGCCCCAGGACTGCAGGTGGGGCCTCAGAGTGCCCACACAGTCTCTGTGATGCTCCATCCCCGCTCCCTGCACCGGCTGCTCCCCCCCATCCATCGGTCTCACCGGAGCTCCAGGAGGTGATTCCATGAGAGCAGCTGCTGCTGTTCTCCAGCAGGAACCCCTGTGTGCCCTCTCCTCCGTGTGTTCCTCTGTCCCCTGAGTCCTGTGCCCTCTCCTCCGTGTGTTCCTCTGTCCCCTGAGTCCTGTGCCCCTGTCGTTGCAGACCTGCTGTTCGGGCTGCCGGGGAGGTACAGCGGGGTGAGCCTGTCCAACCGGAGGCGCGTGGTGTCCTACACCATCACCCTGGGGCTGCGGCGCTACGACTCCAGGTGAGCCACCAGCACAGCTCCAGCTGCTGCTCTGGGGGAATGTGCCCTTTCCTTCACTGGCCACTGCCGTGTCTTCCTTTAATCTCTATTTTCCTGCGTTTTGGAGCATTTTGGATCCTCCCAAGGAGTTGTTTTGGAGAGAAAACTCGCTGTGTTTTAAGGAAACAAAATACCATCAGTTCTCAGCCCCTCATTAAAAATGTTATCTGTAACGTCCTGAGATGCCACTGGGAATTCCTGTGGCATCCAGGGCCCAGTGGGGCTGGTTTGACCCGGTTCCCTCTTCACAGACTGGTTTGCTTCCCAGTAAACACTGGTTCCACTGGTGAAAGTGCTTTGGCATGGATCGAGTGGATCTGAGGACTCAGTGCTGCACAGAATTCCCCAAGGGATGCCTGGGATGGAATTGGCAGCTCAGGAGCCCAAACTTGCTCTGCAGGACCCCACAGCTCCCAGGGCTGTCATGTGGCTCCTTTCCCAGCCATTTTTACACCAAATTCTCTGATTCTGTGGAAATTCTGGAGGTGTTGGAGAACACGGTGTGTCCCGTTCCCCAGGGCCCAGATTTTGGTTGATGAGCCTTTGCTGTAAATAGATTTGGAGAGTCTGAACAGCAAATCTTGGTAGGAAACAAGGTCTGTGAGGTTTGGGCCACCGAGGAACAGCCTTGGGAGCGAGACTGGAGAGAACCATGCCCTGCTGGTCTGAGTGAACCTGTGGAGCCGCTTCCCGCTGGGCTGTAGGAATTGTGTGTGGATTTTGGGAGCCACGTGAGGGACCTGCTCCTGCTGCTCTCCCCACAGGTTCCTGAGCAGCCTCCGCTCCCGCCTGAAGCTGCTGCACCCCAGCCCCAACTGCTCCCTGCGGGAGGAGAGCGTGGTGCACGTGCACTTCAAGGAGGAGATCGGCATCGCCGAGCTCATCCCGCTCGTCACCACCTACATCATCCTCTTCGCCTACATCTACTTCTCCACACGTAGGTTTGGGCCTTTCAGGCTGGGGGCCGCTTGGACACCTCCTGGCTGCATGTGGGGTCAGGGCTGCAGGGCCCTGTGAGAGGCTCCCGGCTGGAGCACCGCAACTCCTGCCTGTCCCAGCAGCAGTGGTGCTGCTGGAATGTCACCCTGAACTGTCCTGGGCACGGTTAATAGTCCTTTTGATCTGGTTTCTGCTGATTTGTCCCCTTAGCCAGTGTGGGGTTATTCCTTGTGATGCACCTCCCTGTCCTGGAAGTGCTGTGGTCTAGTGGAAGGTGTCCCTGCCCATTGCAAGGGGTTGGAACGAGATAATCCTGAGATCCCTTCCCCCCCAAGCCATTCCACGCTTCTGGGATAACTTCTGAGGTGTTTTCTGCCTTAGGCAGCTTTAAATGCCATAGGAATGTTTTTTTCCCCCAGATTATTCCCTCCATTATCGGACGGGTCAGACCTCTCTGGCCACATTTCAGCTCCCCTTTTCCCCCCTCAGTGCTGTGCTGGGATCAGTCTGAGCTGTGAACCAGCACTGTCCTGTGTCCCACCCCTGCACTGGGAGGCTCTGGGAGCTGCACCTCAGGCACTGACACTGAACTCCCCTCCCCTGTGGGGTGCTGGGTTACCTCCTGGAGTCTGGCAGGACGAGGGTCCCTTCTTGGTTCATGTGGGTGCCCCGGGCTGTTCCCTGGTGACCCTGCTGTGTTCTCCAGGGAAGATCGACATGGTGAAGTCCAAGTGGGGCCTGGCCCTGGCTGCGGTGGTGACGGTGCTCAGCTCCCTGCTCATGTCCGTGGGGCTCTGCACCCTCTTCGGCCTCACCCCCACGCTCAATGGAGGGTAAGCCCAGCCCTGTTCCCGGGGGATGCACGTGGGATCCCGTGAGAGCAGCTGCTCACCACTGCTGGGGTGTCACACACTGCTGGGCTCTCCAGGGGTGAAGGGGATGTGTTTCCCTGCTGGCCAGAGCCCAGTCCTGGAGATTCCTGACTGCTGAGCAGTTGGCTCTGTGTGCCCAAGGCGGGAGGAGCTGTTGGGAGAGCAGGTTTAGGTTGTCTGTGCACAGAGCACAGGCACAGCTGGGGTTGCTCTGGTGCTGTGGCTGAGAGCAGAGCTCCACCACCTCCCAGCTGAGAAGTCCCTTCAGGTGCCTCTTCACTGCCCAGGGTGGGATCACTCAGAGCACCCCGGGCTGGAACTTTGGCCCAGGGGGTGTCCAAACCAGGCCCTGCCCCTGCTCCTCACCTGGGAATTCCAGTTGGAAAGCTGTGTTTGCTGTGGTGCTGAGCTGGGGTTTGGCAGATGATCCCTGTGGGGGTGGGGCACGCTCCCCAACCCCCTCCCTGATGAGTGATTGCCCCCAGGTCACTGCAGTGTGCCAGCTCCATCCCTCGGTTTGCACCTCCGTGCACCAGGTGCTGGAGAGTGAAGGGCTCTGTCCCCACCCTGGGAAGCACCAGCACATGTAGTGGTGCTCCACAAGGGCCACTTCCCAGAAATTCCTGCAGCTTTGCAAAGATGGGGATCTCTGTCCAAAGCAGGGTAACCCCAAACCTTTGCCCTGGGGGAAGGGATCGGGCACCGGGGGTGTCTCCTCACCTCGACTCGGGGTGTGTTTGCTGCTTCACCCGCCTCTTCCCTCTTTTTCCCTGTGGATCTCCTCCTCAGCTCTGCTTCTGTTCCCTGCAGGGAGATCTTCCCGTACCTGGTGGTGGTGATTGGCCTGGAGAACGTGCTGGTCCTCACCAAGTCCGTCGTCTCCACGCCCGTAGACCTGGAGGTGAAGCTCCGCATCGCCCAAGGTGGGGACCCTGCTCTGGGACACTCCAGGGAGGGAAAACCAGGGAATCCCAAGGACTGGGAGAGCGGGAGAGGTCTGAATCTGGTCTGTGGAGGAAAACAATGCGAATTGTCATCTTTTTGTCCTGTTTGTAATTCCAAGAAGTTGTTTTTTTGTTTTAGTTCCCTGTCATTGTGGGCACTGCTTTTTGGGGTTGTGGACTGAAACATGGCTAAATAAGTTAAAAAAAAGATTAGGGAGGAAGAGCTGGATCTCCTGGTGTAATACTGACCACCTTGTCCTCGTGGCAGGGATACCCTGAGTGCAGTCCACAGGTGGTGCAGAATTCTCCTCAGTTGTGACAAAATCATCTTTTCTACTCTCCAAACACTCTGAGCCTGAGTGAGGATTTGTGTGTGCCCAAACCATGGATAAATGGAGTTTGCAAACTTCAGAGCTGTTTCTGACCATCAGGGAGGAGAGATCCCAGAGCGATGCCCAGAAACATCTATATCTAGTTTTAACAGTAACAAAACACAGAGGTGTTTTGCATCCCAGGTGGAAAACAAGCCCTAAAACCTCAGTGGGCCTTTGCACTCTGGAATTTCAGCCTGAAAGGCCCTTTTTGTCTGTGGTTCTGCAGAAGGGAAGCGCAGTTCCCTTGGCTGTGCTCGTGTCTGGGACCAGTGCAGAGGCTCCTCTGACCTGTCCTTACCTTTGTCCAGGGCTGAGCAACGAGAGCTGGTCCATCATGAAGAACATGGCCACGGAGCTGGGCATCATCCTCATCGGGTATTTCACGCTGGTCCCGGCCATCCAGGTGAGTGTGCTGAGCGGGACAGAGGCCTGAGGCACAGAGCCATGGAATTGTTTGGCTTGGAAAAGCCTCGGAGACCGCTGAGTCCAACCAGTCCCCAGCAGTGCCGAGGCCACCACTGACCACGTCCCCACGTGCCACATCCCATCCCAGCTTCCTGTTCCCCTGTGCCACTGCCCTGTTCTGCTGGCAGTGTCCTGTTCTCTGTTCCAGTGGCACCATGGGTGGTCCTGAGGCACGCGGTTTGTGGCTAAAAAGAGAAAAGAATGAGAATCTGAACAAAATTAAATTTCCCAGCCCTAAACCCTCAGTCATTTTGGGGTTTGTCAGTAAAACACCCAGCCCTGGGCTCTGGGCAGGGGCTTGCTGAGCTCCCTTATTCCAAGGCTGAAGTCAGAGCTGATCCATGCCTCCCATCCACAGGAGTTCTGCCTCTTTGCCGTGGTTGGCCTGGTGTCTGACTTCTTCCTGCAGATGTTCTTCTTCACCACGGTGCTGTCCATCGACATCCGGCGGATGGAGGTGGGGAAGGGGCGTGGGGCCAGCCTGGGCTTTCCTTCCCTGCTGTGCTGGGGGGACTGAAGGGAGCACAGCCTGGGGTTTTCACTCTAAAATAGAAAAAAAACCATAGAATCAGAGGATCATGGAATCATGAAGGTTGGAAAAGACCTTTAAGATCATAAAGTCAAACCACCGACAGCACCACCCCCATGGTCACCACTGACTCGTGTCCCCAGGTGCCACATCCACGTGGTTTGTAAATCTCCCCAGGGATGGGGCTCCAGCCTGTGCCAGGGCTGGACAGCCCTCTGCAGGAAGAAATTTTCCTGATAGCTCATTTAAACCTCTCCCTGGCACAACCTGAGGCCGTGTCTCCTGCTCCTGTGAGGGCCTGAGGCGTTAACGGTGCAGGGCTGTGCTTGCTCAGTGACACTCACAGGGACTGGGGACAGGACACCTGAGGGAATGAGACACCCTCAGCAAGGACAGGGAGCTGCTGCAGAGTGTCCAGAGGAGGCACCAAGGGGATCAGAGGGCTGGAGCAGCTCTGCTGGGAGGAAAGGCTGGGAGAGCTGGGATTGTTCAGCCTGGAGAGGAGAAGCTTTGGGGTGACCAAATTGTGGCCTCGCAGGACATGGAGAAGCTACAGGAAAGATGGAGAGAGACTATTGACAGGGGCCTGGAGTGCCAGGACAAAGGGGAATGGCTTCAAACTGACAGAAACAGGGTTAGATGGATATTGGGAAGGAATTCCTGGCTGGGAATGTTGGGAGGTCCTGGCACAGGTTGCCCAGAGAAGCTGTGGCTGCTCCATCCCTGCAGGTGTCAGGTTGGACGGGGCTTGGAGCAATTCTGGGCCGGTGGAAGGTGTCCCTGCCCGTGGCAGGGGGTGGGACTGGATGGGCTTTGAGGTCCCTTCCAACCCAAAGCATTCCATGATCCCACAGTTCTGTGCAGGTGTGCTGGTTTGGGGTGGAAGGGCTGGAAGGAGCCGCGGCTGGGGGGAGAATTTGAGCTGGGCCATTTCCCTCGAGGACCCTCACTGTGCCCTCTGTCCCCAGCTGGCCGACCTGAACCGCCGGGTGCCCCCGGAGTCCATCCTGCCCCCGGGGAAGCCGCCGTGCCGTTCCCGGGCGCCGGCGGCGCGGCCGGCGAGCGCGGCGAGCCCGCACACCATCACCCTGCAGCCCTCGTCCCTGCGCAACCTGCGCCTGCCCAAGCGCCTCCGCGTCATCTACTTCTTCGCCCGCACCCGCCTGGCCCAGCGCCTCATCATGGTACGGCCCCACGGCCCGGGGATCCCGCGTTTCCCTGCTCCCACATCCTCTGCGAGCCTCGTGCTGCCCCACGGGGGACGTAAGATCACCCATCGGGGAGCCGGGGATCGGCACCCACGGGGGCCGGGGCGCTGGCACTGAGGGGGTGTCTCTGCTCGCCCCGTGCAGGCCGGGACGGTGATCTGGATCGGGATCCTGGTGTACACCGACCCCGCCGGCCTCCGCACCTACCTCACGTCGCAGGTGACGGAGCAGAGCCCGCTGGGGGAGGCGGGGCTGCCCCCCATGCCCGTGCCGGGGGGGGTCCTGCCCGCCGGGGACCCCAAGATCGACCTGTCGGTGTTCCCGTCGGAGCCCCTGCAGCTGTCGGAGAACCAGACACAGCAGCGGGAGCAGCAGCTGCAGCACAACCAGCCCCCCTGGGCCCAGGGCACCGAGGGCAGAGGCAACGGCCAGGGGGAGCTGGGCACTGAGGCAGAGGTGACCTGGGGAGCGGAGGACGAGGAGATCTGGAGGAAGCTTTCCTTCAGGCACTGGCCAGCCCTCTTCAGCTACTACAACATCACCCTGGCCAAGAGGCAAGTGGGCTGGAACGCTGTGGGCACTGGGATTGGGGCATCAACCCCCAGGGGTTGGTCTTTCTTCTGTCCTTCGTCCTCCTGGGTCAGAACCTGGCTCCTCGGGGCTCGCTCCAGGTGTGTTGAGCAGGTCCTGCGTGGGCAGAGCTCCCAAACTCTCCAGGGCTCTTCCTCTGGGAATCAGGGTTCTTCCTCTCTGTGCTCTCGGGTGCTTTACATGCCTGGTGTCTTCCTGGACCCTGGAGGTGAAGTTTAGAATTTTGTAAAACAGTAAGAGGAGGCTCAGGGGAAACTTCTCACTCCTGACAGGAGTGGGGAGCCGGGTCGAGTCAGGCTCTGCTCCCAGGGAACAGGGACAGGAGGAGAGGGGACAGCCTCAAGCTGTGCCAGGGGAGGGGCAGGTTGGACATCAGGAAGAATTTCTCCATGGAAAGCGTGGTCAGGCATTGGAAGGGGCTGCCCAGAGAGGTGGTGGAGTCCCCATCCCTGGAGGGATTTCAAAGCCCTGTAGGTGTGGCTCTTGGGGACAGGGGTCAGTGGTGGCCTGGGGAGTGGTTGGACTCGATGCTCTCAGAGGCTTTTCCAACCTCAGTGATCCTGTGATTCCATAATCTGATCACCTGTAAGCGGTGGGGATGGTGCATGTGAGGAAGAGACACCTGAGCTGAAGAACCTTCTTGAAGAGATCTTCTGGTCTGCAGCGCACAGCAAAGTGCACCAGATCATTGTATCCTTGCTTAAACCCATGGGATCCGTTTGATCTCATCAGGAGTTCATTCCACTGCTGGCTCTTTGAAGGGTTAGGACCTGGGAAATACTTTGGAGAAGGAGATATTTCCAAGGAGATCTTTAGTGCAGAACACCCGGAGTTCCTGACCGAAAGCACCCGAACCCTGCCCTGGTCACCTGGAGGGATTCCTGTGTCCCTGGTGTCTGTTCCTGAGCTGCTCTCCCCTCTCCCCCCTCCAGGTACATCAGCATCCTGCCAGCCATCCCTGTCACGCTGTACCTGAACCCACAGGAGGCCCTGGAGGCGCGACATCCCCAGGAGGCCTCGCGCTACCAGCCCTTCCTGGCCTCCAGCAGAGGGGACTCGGACACCGGCGCTCAGCCCGACCACACAGCCAAGCTCCAGGGCCACCAGGATGTCACCCTTTACAAGTAAAATGTCCTTGTCACAGCCTTCTGACCCTCCTCAGCTCCGGGGCTGGTTTGGGCTGAGAGACCAAAACGTGCCTGTAAAGCTTCCGAGCCAGAGCCTGGCATGGGCGGGACACTCGTGCAGTTAAATTAACCCCTCCTGGCAGCTTCCCATCAGCTGAGGCAGGAATGGGCTGGGCATCCAGGCTGCTTATCACTGGTAGCAGGGACAGGGTATAAATGGCATGGTTTCAGAGAATCCCAGACTGGTTTGGTTTGGAAGGGACCTCAACGCCCATCACATTCCAACCCCCTGTCTTGGGCAGGGGCACCTTCCACTATCCCAGGTTGCTCCAAGCCCTCTAACCTGGCCTTCCACACTTCCAGGGATGGGGCAGCCACCACCTGGATATCATTTGATAATGGTTTATTGAGTGTTAGATCAAACTATGTGCAAGGACCTTCCTTCCCTCTGGAGAGGATGGCTCAGCTCCCTGCCTGAATCTGCAGGTGCTGAGCACACTCTGGATTATCCCAGTCCCCATCCAGTGTTTTCTTAGTTGCTCTCTACTTTCCTTACTGAAAAGCCTCAAAATCTAGTTGAAATGGTCATTTTCCCATTAAACCCCCCTTTAATTTGCAACAAATCTCTGTAATTTGCTGAAAAACCTCTCTCAGCCAGGACATTCAGAGCAGCACACGTGTGATCCTGGCACAGGGTTTTTCAAATCTAGGAAGTGGATCTTTTCTTTCTCTCACCTTTTCTCTCACCTTGTCCTTGTGTCTGCGTGTCCCCCAGGGTGGCTGCTCTGGGTCTGGCCTCAGGCATCATCCTGGTGCTGCTGCTCTTCTGCCTGTACCGGGTGTTCTGCCCCAAGAACTACGGGCAGAACGGGCACGGCCGCAGGAAGAGGGGGGACCTGCCCTGCGACGATTACGGATACTCCCCCCCCGAGACCGAGATCGTGCCCCTGGTCCTCAGGGGCCACCTCATGGTACGTCACATTGATGGGGAAATGTACCTGTAAAAGGATATTGTAGCACCACGTTCCCCACCTCCTCCTGGGACTGGCTCTGAGCTTCCTGCAGTTCCTGTCACTGCCCCGCTCAGCCTGGCCTTGGACACTGCCAGGGATGGCCACGTTCTCAGCGTCCCTCCATTCCCAAACCAGCCAGTTCTGACATAAAATCCATCACCTCTGTGCTCCTCAGCCACACCAGGCTGTGGTCAGGCTCCAGGGCCACCTCAGCTGTGCCTGTCCTTCCTTCCTTGGCAGGACATCGAGTGCCTGGCCAGTGATGGGATGCTGCTGGTCAGCTGCTGCCTGGTAGGGCAGATCCGCGTGTGGGACGCGCAGACGGGGGACTGCCTCACCGTCATCCCCAAACCCAGGTACAGCACGGAGCCCCTGCCACGCCCTGCGTCCTCTGCTGCATCCTTGGGTTCCATCTGCTGCATCCTTGGGCTCCCTCTGCTGCATCCTTGGGTTCCATCTGCTGCATCCTTGGGCTCCCTCTGCTGCATCCTTGGGTTCCATCTGCTGGGGGATCACCTCTGCTGGCTCCTCGGGTCCCTCTGCTGAGGGGCAGCTCTGCTCACATCCTCACATCCGTGCAGCCTGAGGGAGTGCCTCTGCTGGCTCCTCAGATCCCGCTGCTGAGGGGGCAGCTCCATGAGGAGCCCTGCAGCTCGAGGGCAGGGCTGAGCCCTATTCCTCCTTTCAGGTTGCGGAGGGACAGCAGCGGCATCTTCGACTACCAGGAAGGCTGGGATCAGAGCCCGGACGGGAAGAACGGGCTGGAGGACTCCTTTGAGAGCGGTCACCAGCTCAAGAGGCTGCTGGGCCCCCCGCAGCCCCCCCTGTTCTGCGACCAGCCCGACCTCACGTCCCTCATCGACACCAACTTCTCGGAGCAGGCGAAGGCGGCCGAGTCGGAGCCACGGCTGCGGGCCGTGGGCAGCCGCCACAAGGACACGGGCTACGACTTCAGCAGCCTGGTGGGGAAGGTGTACGAGGAGCACGGCAGCTCCGGCTGCAGGAGCGTGGCCTTCCCGGGGCTGCCGGGCCCGCACGGCCCCGCCGGGCTTTGCGGGAGCAGCGGCCGCGCCCCGGGCTGCGGCTCCGACGAGGCCGGGGGCGGCCGCCGGCGCAGCCTCGGGGACCGGAGCCTGGGGGACGAGTCCTGCGCCGGCTGCGAGAAATCCTCGTCCCTGCCGGCCTGGGGAGGGGACCTGGAGAGCTCCATCTGGAGCCTCGACCTGCAGGGACACCTGATCGTGGCCGGCCGGAGCAACGGGAAACTGGAGGTGAGGAGAAGGGCTGGGGTGATGGGAAGGTGGAGGGGAGGGCAGGGACACGGTAAGGGGAACGTGGAGGGGAGGAGCAGGGACATAGGAACGGGAGGGTGGAGGGGAGGAGCAGGGACGGTAAGGGGAAGGTGGAGGGGAAGAGCAGGGCTGGGGTGATGGGAAGGTGGAGGGGAGGGGCAGGGACACGGGAAGGACAGGGGCACGGGAAGGACAGGGACACGGGAAGGACAGGGACACGGGAACGGGAGGGTGGAGGTCACACAGGTGCAGGGCACAGCCCAGGCAGCCTACCTGGTCACACTGCTCTGGGGACACAGCCCAGGGGGCTGTCCTGGATCCCAGTCCCTTCTGTGCCCCTCGGGTCAGAGTCCCCACAGCGACCCCTCCTTCCCCAGGTGTGGGATGCCATCGAGGGCACCCTCCGCAGCAGCAATGAGGAAGGACAGTCTGGAATCACGGCCCTCGTCTTCCTCAACAACAGGTAATTCCTTGGGCAGGGCTGGAGGTCCCCAGGACCCAGCCCTGACCTCCACAGCAGCTCCAGGCTCAGCTGGGAAGTCTCTTCCTCAGAACCGTGGAATGTCCTGAGTGGGATGGGACCCACAAGGATCATCCAGTCCCACCCCTGGCCTTGCCCAGGGCACC